CTGCTCTTATTTGGGGATATACCGTCTTTCGAAACACGCCCGTGTACCCAACATTCATTTCCAAGAATGGGGGGAAGAATCTACATCTCATGGGGATATAAATATACATGTAGCCGGTGTTTTTTTAATCATAACTGCCTATGATTCTTTTCTTTCACTGCAACGTCAGTGGATCACCAAAACGGCCGCAGGTGGTGGCGTTGATGCCGACATGTTGCTCTTGGAGTTGCTACTGTTCCGCTGTGTATTTGATCCCGAGCGCTCAGAATGGACACGGCTGCCAGCTCGCACCAAGATCTTCGTGGAGGTGGCGAACTCCATCAAGATCTCCCATGGAGCTGGAGCTGCTGGAGCTGCTGGAGCTTCGACTCAGCTGATGTTTTTGTCCGCTCCCATTTTGCAGGCGATGCCGGAGCAACTCAAAGTAGATCCGCACTTCCCATTTGCTTTTGATCCTGTAGATTTTCATCCTGAAGTAGCTGCGAACACTGCCTGTGACTTTGCCATTGCTGGTGCAGCCTTGCTCTTGAGGCAAAGGTTGCAGAGGTTGGTGGGATGGCAAGACGATGCCGTCTTCAAATTCCTCCCAGATGGCTCTATCGTTGCCGGAGATCACGTGCGGTTGCTGCAGGAGTTGTCAGGGGAGGTGAATGAAGCTGCCCAGAGAGCTCTGCAAGACGCCTGGCTTCGGGGCATTGGTGTTGAAGCGGACAGGGAGCCTCCGGTGTTGTCCAAAGCCACGGTGATGGCTTTCCTCACTTTCTTGGCAAATTGGACCAGGAATTGGGCCTTTCACGCCTTCCACTTCGAGCAGCAGCTGGAGGGAGTTTCCGGTGTCGACATACATGGTACCTTTGTTCCAGTGCTGAAGGCGATGATCGGAATGGCTGCGGCAATGTGTTTGCGATCTTCAGCTGCCGAAGCTCAAGAGCAGCAACAGGCCCACAAGACGTTTAGGACGAGTGAGGATCAGCGAGCCTCTTCACCTGCTTCCTTGTCTGAAGCTATGGCTGCTAGAGTGGTAGATGGCCGCACCAGTGCGTCCACAGTTTGGGCCTTCAACACTGGCGGCTCTTTGCGGTTTATTGGGAACAGCAGTGAGGTTCCAGCTGCCTTGAAACATTTGTGGAAGACTGTGAGGGATCAAACCCGGCAGGCTTTTCCAGAGCCGCTTACCAACTTGGGCATAGCAAGCCAAGAGAACTTGCGGTCTTTGCTACTGGAGGTGATGTCCGGACATGGATTGACACCAGAAGAACTCAAGGAGACCTTTAAAGGCTTCGTCTTGACCCGAGACAACATGATCAAGCTGGTAGATGTGGCTGAACGATTGCGAGCCAAGTTGCTGTGCATTCTCATGGGTGAGGCGGGGGGCGGGAAGACAGTGCCATGGCTTTGCTTCAGACGTTTTAGTTTTCACTAGTGTGTTATTGCGAAGGGACTGTTTTCTTAGTGCGCAGGGCATGCAAAGTCATTGGAACATTGCGCACAGATTAGTCATATCCTGTGATTAAAATAAAAACATGTTGGCATTTCATGTGCTCATTGTGATCAAACTGATTGCTTTTCATTAGTTGCATGCAATACCTAGCACTCAAACAGTCCTGATTTAGCATGCTACTGGAAACCTCCTTAAGTTGATAAGGTGCAAGCCTGGTTTAGATGGACTTGCGGTTGTCTCAGGTGTTCTCTCTCTCTCTCTCTTGTTAAACCACAACGTGTTTCAAGCGGTGGTATCACAATTTGCTTTTCAATATGTGTTTCCACGTATATCAGAGTCCTCTGAACGTGACAAGGTCACAATTTTGTTTCTGGTTTGATTGGCCATAAATATCACAACCTTGAGACCTTGAGACTTCATTATTTGCTTGGACAGTGTGTCGCCTTATCAGCACGGCAATGATAGAATTTTCTTGGAATCTCTGAGGTATTGCTACGCTTGACCACTCGCTTGCTGGGTGCTGAAACCTTGGACGAACAGCAGGTGCATGCTGGGACTACCGAGAAACAGATCCTTGACGCCGTGGATGCCGCGGAGGAGCGTGCCAGGGTGCGGCAGGCAGGTTTGAAAGATGGCAGTGCGGAGCAGATGGTGGTGCAATTCTGGGATGAAATCAACACCTGTCCACATCAGCCACTCTTCAAGCAGATCCTGGTTGATCGCATCAATCCTCGGACTGGCCAAGCAATTCACAGTTCCTTGCGCTTTGTTGCGGCCTGCAACCCTTGGCGCCTCGCAAGCCAAGGTTCAGTCTTGTCCGTGGGATTTGAAAGCCCAGTATGCAAAGATGATCGCTTGGCAGGCTTGGCATATCGAGTGCACCCGCTTCCAGAAAGTCTTTTTGTACACCTGTCATCATTTGGTCAGCTCACATCAGAGGCAGAAGTGGAGTATGTGAAGGAAATGGCAAGTCAACCACCTCGGCTCTTGGATCCTGATGATCAGCCACTGACAGCACCACCTGTATCTGTTGAGATGCGCAGTCACGTGGCCTCAATTTGCCTCGTGCTGCACAACTTTTTCCGTGCCTTGGGGTCCTGTGTGTCCTTGCGAGACCCAACTCGTTTGTTGAGGATTTGGGGCTTCATCCGCTGGGAAATGGAACAGCGAGACTCCATCATGCATTTCGATGGAAGACAAATGTCTCCGCAGGCAGAGCTTGTCTCCATGGTACTGGCTATCCATTTAGCCTATGAGTTGAGACTTTCTGAGTTCAAGCTGCGTCAACAGCTTTTGCAAAGTCTCTTTGAGCCGTCCAGTGAGCTGAGCAAACTCTTCCAGAAGCATTTCCCGGGTGAGTGCAAAGATGGACCGGAAGGGATTGAGATTTGGAGAAGGATTGTGATGGAGGAGCAGAACTATTGGCTCAACGCCATTGATGTGCCGGACAATGTGGCCAAGGTCCGTGCCTTGAGAGAAAACATCTATGCTGAGTTGATATGCTCATTGACTCGCACACCGATTCTCGTTCTTGGAAAACCCGGATGCTCCAAGTCGTTGACCGTATCTCTGCTCATTACTGCCATGACCAATCCACATGCCAAACAGTTGTTGCACTTGGCCAGCTTCATCGTCCAGCCGCACCAGGGAAATCGTCAGTCCACGTCCAGTTCCTTGCTGCAGGTTTTTGACCGAGCTCGTGCGCGACAGATCAAGCTCCGGGAGCTGAAGAATCGGAAGACCCGGCCCTTGGCGTTGGTGCTGTTGGATGAGGTGCCGCTGGTTTAAAACATGGTTAAACGATGCCATAATCATAATGATGTCACTGATTTCATACAAAATGGCGTTGCATGTTGCTTTGATATGGGGATGAAAACTTGAAAACTGGATCACCACCCTTCTGTTTCAAGGTCTAAACAACTTGTGACTGGGATCCACCCAAAGATGGTATCAATAAGTTTTGACCCATCCGGCTGCGTTGGCACCCAAGTTCGGAGGACTTTTGCAATTTTGAATTCCCAAATTTAGATCAAAACCAGGTGGGTTTGGCGGAGCAAAGTCCACACAATCCGCTGAAAGTGCTTCATGCGCGCTTGGAGCCGCGTCGCTTGGAAGACGCCGTGTCCGTGATCGCCATCTCTAACTGGGAACTCGACCGTTCCAAACTGAGTCGCGCCCTGGTGTTGGCGTGTCCCCCACCATCGCATGCGGACTTGCGGGAGACTGCATTGGCCATCATTCGGGCATACTTGGACCATGAGACTCACATCCGCAACCAGTTGATGGCCAGTTTAGAACCCATGGCCAAAGCCTTCATGGAGATTTTGAAAAATCAAAGGCCTGCAGACTTCCATGGTCTCCGTGACTGGTATGGTCTATGCTCTTTTGCTGCACGTTTGTTGTTGGCGGCAGATGTGCAGATGGGTTTGAGCTCAGAGGAAGTGCAGCAAGGAGCCTTGATGGGCGGAGTTTCTCGTTCTCTCAGTGAAGAAGCAACTCGATTGGTGAAACTGTGCCACGAGAAGCAGCTGAAATTCGTGCCGGCAGTTTGGGCGTTGCAGCTTGCGGTGCTCAACAATGTCAGTGGACATGATGATTCGGAATCATTGGACAAGATGGTTGAAAGTCTGAGCAAGCCGCAGACTGGAAGTGAGGGAATGGATGGGGTTCCTTTGTTGTCAGACATCTACCCCGAGGTCCTGCGAGCTTCCAAGCGGTTGGACAGTTTGCTTGGAGATGTGGATGGTCGCCATATTATGGTCATCACAGACTCACCGGGGCCGGTCATTGCGTGGATTCAGCACCGAGCTCCTTTGATCGGCAACTGGAATCCTGAGAGCCTGGTTGGCAGTCCACTGGAGCATGACAAGGTCAGCACAGACATTTATGCGCAGTCAATGATTCAGGCGGCCATTGTGAGCATGGCTCAGGAAAGACGACTCCTGATTCTTCACAACGTGGACCCCATCTATGCTGCCTTGTATGATGTCTTCAATTCCAACTACAGCCGTGCAAGTGGCCCGAACAGTCAACGGTATTGCCGTATCGCCCGCGAGGGCTTTTGCAATCCTCGCTGCGCTGTCGCGGACCAATTCAAGACCGTCTTGGTGGTGACGAGGAAGCGGGCAGCCCAGTACGAAGCGGCTTTGTTGAACCGCTTCGCCAAGCTGGAGGCGAGCTGCGCTCATTGAGAGAGATTGCGCTGATTTACCTTGATTCTTGCTGATTCTTGCATCTCTCATCACAACCCCCACCAGAACTATATAGTTCTTTCCAGTTTGATATTATTATATAATATGGCTTCTGCAGTTTGTTATGAAATGATGTGAGCTCATGTGGAATTTGCACATCTTGTGCACGTGCGCAGCGACTAGTGACTAGTTAGACTAGTCACTACGTGGCCAGAGTAAGAACATACCAGGTGGAGCAATCCGATTTGCTTCCAGAGCCAGAAGAAGTTTGGGACTTTGAAGACCAGGCCGGCAACGGCGCGAGGGCCAAAACGAAACAACGACCGAAATATGTTGGTTTCTGTAATGGGACATACTCGCAACTCCCGCGACTGTATGAATTTAGATGGCCATGGATTTCGGAGGTCAGAATTTCAATGGTGCAAAAAGAGTTTCCCTGTTCATTCTGATCATTCTGCTTGGATGTTTTCTTTATCGTGTGTTGTGCAAGTTTTGAACGGGCCGACCCACGTCCTAGGTGAAGCGGATGTGTCCAGCATTTCACGGCAGATACGGTGAACAAGCTACCGATGTGGTGGCAGCTTGTCCGATGGATTCGGCACAACCAGGTTTGAAGACGCTTTTGGAAACTATCACATTGTCAGCCCTCATGCGCACTGAGAGTGACTCGGGAAGCCTGTCAAAGGAAGCTTTGCTTTGTCCATTGATGTCTTTGGAGTTTTCGCCACATGATATCAAAGATTCTTTGGTGTGGCTCAGCCCCAACTCAAAGTCCTGCTTTGGCGCTCTCCTTTGGGACATCTACAGCAGTCCAAGGGTTGGGCAGAGCCATGTCGTTTTTCCGTTGCTTGTCCCGACGTTCAGCGCCCCAAATCAAACTCTTGACATCAGGGCGGTGCCTGAAGTTGAAGACAGTTTGAAGGTTTTCTCTGAGATACGGATGGACAACATTGTCTCACAAGCTACTCTCCGTGACTGCATGAAGGACCACACTGAGAAAGTGACCAAGCAGCTTCAGAATGCAAATGGGAGACTTCTTTCAGCACTAAGCGTGCACATCAGCATGAAGCAGGAGAATGCACAGGACCTGGTGGATTATTTGCGTTTCCAGCTTGAATGGTATGCTCAGGAGCTGGTTGGAGTGTTGCAACACACCAAGGCACCAGCTGTGCATGTTCTTGCTTTGGTTGTCCATGGCATCCGAGGCAGTTGCGGCCCTGATCGCAGCATTCGGCCATTTCTTCTTGCTGGCCCACTGATGCCACAGCCACTGAGCAGAGATGCAGCTTCAGTGCAGCTGCACGAATGGACCGGCGTTGCAGTGGATCATTTTTCTCACATTTTGCCTTGGGAAATGCCTTCAACCGAACTCTTGCATGGCAACATCAAAGGCATTTTTGGCTTGGAACAGGAAGGAGGAATGGAGCGTTTTCGTTTCATCTTGGCAGATGCTTTGCCACATGTCGTTCCTGGCTTTGGGCTTGAGCAAAATGCAGATACTTGGATTTGGTGACAACGTATGAAAAGTTTCTTGCTGTAACATTTTTTCTCCAATTTGTTGATCCACCATATGGCCAATCGAGGTGTATGATTCTTAATTTTCGTTGGGCCATGTTGATCAAATTAGCAAATCCAAGGATAGCTTCACTATCATTCAAACCTTGATGCAAGAGATTCACAACAAAGACGAGCTGGTGAAGTGCATTCAGGCTGTTCTGGCTGATCAGCTGTCTCTGGACCAGGCCGGGCCCATAAATTGCAGCTGTCTCTTCAAATTATTTGCTGAAATTTGTTGTTCTGTCCTACTGGTGCTTAGTAGGATTTAGTAGGGAATGTGGGAATGATCCAGAATAACTATTGAACAATCATCCCATTCTCCTATTCCCTACGTTTAGCTCCCCTAAGTTGTTTCATCCCATAGTTCTTTTGCGCATCTACCTCACTTGGTGCAGCCCAAGTCGTGCAGGCGAATTGGCGATCCGAGGTGGCCAAGAATGTGAAGCTTCTGAGACGCACGGGACCTTTTCAGCTCGCCCTGCTTTCACATTTGAGGCAAGACGAGAAGATTTTGCCCGTTCTTGAGGCAGTGTGGAACCAAAGTTTGCACAGCAGCTGTCCATTTTTCGCGGACGCCACTGATCTGCAGAAGGCCCACTGGAGACCGGTGGCTGAATCGCTTCTGGGAAGCCGCTTGGATCAGATGGCAATGCTGTGCCAACTTCATGATGTGCCAGCTTTGACGATGCCAGGAAGTCCGGCTGTGATGCAAATCATATTCCCTCAGCTTCAAGGATTCCAGGGTTTCCAACAGAGCGATCATGATTTCAGTCCGGTACTACTGAACCATTCAACTCAGCTAGCTGCAGTGCTCCGGCGTTGCTTACCAGATGCACTTTGGCAGGTGCTGAAGGCAGCTGGCGAGGCTATGTCTCATGGTGAAGTGGGTTCGTTTGGCGAAGATGTGATCACCGAAGTGGCAACGCGAGCGTGCCGCATTGTGCAAGAGTGGCCTGGGAGTGCCATTTTCACATCTGTCCGGTCCCATCTTCAAAGTCTCATTGGTGCCTTGCTTCGCAGCATGCCCGGCATGCCCAGCACCCAACAAACCGACCTTCCAGCTGGTGACATCGCAACAGAGCTGCCTGATAGCAATGCATCCACAGCTCTTTTGCCCGCGGTGGCTGCCATTTTGTTACTCCCAGTGTCAGAGCAGGTCTGTGATTTGCAGTTGCGATTTCCGACGACCAGGGCAGCCAGGGCCTGGCAGAACTTCTTGCCAGCCCAGCCACTCCTCAATGGAACTTGGCAGAACATCAGACAGCATGCCATTCAAGGAGCTTTCCAGCTTCATGCCGCAGAACTAGAAGAGTCCTTGTGCACTGCCCCGAGCCAGAACTTTCAGGACGCCCAAACTCCCAACCAACCAGCTTTGCGAAGTGGGGTACTGACATTACATTCTGGGAATGAGGCGCCCAGAACAACCCAGCGATGTTGTCGCAAAGAAACTCGATCTTTTTTGAAGATAGTAATACTTGCAGTCTTGGCGAAACTGTTGAACCCTAAGGAGCTTGCGATAGCCTTTCTTCCTGCAGGAACCTTCCCTTGATAGACTATTGAGTACAGATGGGGATGTCTGGAACCTGTTTGTTGCGGCTGAATCTTTCACTTCCTTGGGATCAGGAGAGTTCTTGCTGTGCAGGACTCGTTGAACCTTCTGAGTCAGCTCTCCGTGTCCATCGAAGAATTTATTATCACAGTTGATCGCCCAGACACGAGTTTGGTGTCTTGCCTAAAAAATTGTGCATGCGTCAGAAACATTGACACTATTAAAAACTAAAACCCATTTTGGTATGGTTGGACGCTGTGACAGTTTGCTTCGGTCCTTTGGCAACTTTCCTTTTGAAGCATACCCTCATGTCAACTGTACATGTTGCAAATCCATGCAAATGACTTGTCGCCGTGGTCCTATAGCTGCTAGATGCTGCTGAAGAACAAGCTCAGCACAATCCTTGTTTTAACTTCAGAGCAAGTCGCACACACACACACATCATATATATATATATATACACACTGTATATTTATAAATGGGCTAACGCCCTGGTGCCGCCGACCCCCTTTCAAGGGTGGAGGAAGGAAAGCGCACAAAAAATAAAATAATTATACCCTAACCAGAGAAAGAAGAAGAACAAGTCTGCGTTGCAGTGATGGCAACAATGAAACTTTATGCGATTGATGACTTTTTAATATAAACATAGATTGTGAGTGCTTGAAGGATCAAAGTACTCCACAGTTCGTGTTGGCAACTGTTTACCAAAGACAAATTCATGCATCATGCAGAGGTTGTGGCAGATTGAATACAGGTATGTCATCTTCATCAGCATCATCAGCATCATCAGCATCAGCATCACCATAAGAGGGATATTGATAGATGAGAAGTTGTTGAAACCGCGGAAAAAGATAGGTTATGTCAAATCACAATGTTTTGTATTTATAGTTTATAGGAATCATTTATAAACGGGCCATGTTCGTTCATTGTCGTTTAGCAGGTAGATCATCAGATAGTTTGGCCTTGCAAAGTGAAACAAGTTACCGCAGGGTCACAGATTCGAAGTCCATCCTTTCGATCTGATGGATCCTCCTGATCCTCCTGGCGATCCAGCTCCACCAGTAGACGAGGACGGAGAATGACGGAGTGCTCTAACAACAAATGCTTGTGGCCGGAGTGCTGGGTGCAAGCAGCCGCGAGGGACTTGACTGCAACGCTCTAACAAAAAATGCTTGTGGCCGGAGTGCTGGGTGCAAGCAGCCGCGAGGGATTTGGAGCGTTTTAGGGATTTAGGGGTTTTACGGCTGGCAAACGGCAGACTTGAACGCCCTAACAACAGAGGGCTATGGAGACTTATGGGGGCAAACGGCAGGCTGCAACGCTTTGATCGAAGCAACAAATGCCTGTGGCCAGAGTGCCTGATCGAAGTTCCACACCTGCGGTGGTCTTGTGGCCGGAGTGCTGGGCGCAAGCAGCCGCGAGGGATTTGACTGCAACGCTCTAACAAAAAATGCTTGTGGCCGGAGTGCTGGGTGCAAGCAGCCGCGAGGGATTTGGAGCGTTTTAGGGGATTTAGGGGTTTTACGGCTGGCAAACGGCAGACTTGAACGCCCTAACAACAGAGGGCTATGGAGACTTATGGGAGCAAACGGCAGGCTGCAACGCTTTGATCGAAGCAACAAATGCCTGTGGCCAGAGTGCCTGATCGAAGTTCCACACCTGCGGTGGTCTTGTGGCCGGAGTGCTTGCACCCAGCAAACGGCAGACTTGAACGCCCTAACAACAGAGGGCTATGGAGACTTATGGGGGCAAACGGCAGGCTGCAACGCTTTGATCGAAGCAACAAATGCCTGTGGCCAGAGTGCCTGATCGAAGTTCCACACCTGCGGTGGTCTTGTGGCCGGAGTGCTTGCACCCAGCAAACGGCAGACTTGAACGCCCTAACAACAGAGGGCTATGGAGACTTATGGAGGCAAACGGCAGGCTGCAACGCTTTGATCGAAGCAACAAATGCCTGTGGCCAGAGTGCCTGATCGAAGTTCCACACCTGCGGTGGTCTTGTGGCCGGAGTGCTTGGTGCAAGCAGCCGCGAGGGATTTGACTGCAACGCTCTAACAAAAAATGCTTGTGGCCGGAGTGCTGGGTGCAAGCAGCCGCGAGGGATTTGGAGCGTTTTAGGGGATTTAGGGGTTTTACGGCTGGCAAACGGCAGACTTGAACGCCCTAACAACAGAGGGCTATGGAGACTTATGGGGGCAAACGGCAGGCTGCAACGCTTTGATCGAAGCAACAAATGCCTGTGGCCAGAGTGCCTGATCGAAGTTCCACACCTGCGGTGGTCTTGTGGCCGGAGTGCTGGGTGCAAGCAGCCGCGAGGGATTTGACTGCAACGCTCTAACAAAAAATGCTTGTGGCCGGAGTGCTGGGTGCAAGCAGCCGCGAGGGATTTGGAGCGTTTTAGGGGATTTAGGGGTTTTACGGCTGGCAAACGGCAGACTTGAACGCCCTAACAACAGAGGGCTATGGAGACTTATGGGGGCAAACGGCAGGCTGCAACGCTTTGATCGAAGCAACAAATGCCTGTGGCCAGAGTGCCTGATCGAAGTTCCACACCTGCGGTGGTCTTGTGGCCGGAGTGCTGGGCGCAAGCAGCCGCGAGGGATTTGACTGCAACGCTCTAACAAAAAATGCTTGTGGCCGGAGTGCTGGGTGCAAGCAGCCGCGAGGGATTTGGAGCGTTTTAGGGGATTTAGGGGTTTTACGGCTGGCAAACGGCAGACTTGAACGCCCTAACAACAGAGGGCTATGGAGACTTATGGGAGCAAACGGCAGGCTGCAACGCTTTGATCGAAGCAACAAATGCCTGTGGCCAGAGTGCCTGATCGAAGTTCCACACCTGCGGTGGTCTTGTGGCCGGAGTGCTTGCACCCAGCAAACGGCAGACTTGAACGCCCTAACAACAGAGGGCTATGGAGACTTATGGGGGCAAACGGCAGGCTGCAACGCTTTGATCGAAGCAACAAATGCCTGTGGCCAGAGTGCCTGATCGAAGTTCCACACCTGCGGTGGTCTTGTGGCCGGAGTGCTTGCACCCAGCAAACGGCAGACTTGAACGCCCTAACAACAGAGGGCTATGGAGACTTATGGAGGCAAACGGCAGGCTGCAACGCTTTGATCGAAGCAACAAATGCCTGTGGCCAGAGTGCCTGATCGAAGTTCCACACCTGCGGTGGTCTTGTGGCCGGAGTGCTTGGTGCAAGCAGCCGCGAGGGATTTGACTGCAACGCTCTAACAAAAAATGCTTGTGGCCGGAGTGCTGGGTGCAAGCAGCCGCGAGGGATTTGGAGCGTTTTAGGGGATTTAGGGGTTTTACGGCTGGCAAACGGCAGACTTGAACGCCCTAACAACAGAGGGCTATGGAGACTTATGGGGGCAAACGGCAGGCTGCAACGCTTTGATCGAAGCAACAAATGCCTGTGGCCAGAGTGCCTGATCGAAGTTCCACACCTGCGGTGGTCTTGTGGCCGGAGTGCTTGGTGCAAGCAGCCGCGAGGGATTTGACTGCAACGCTCTAACAAAAAATGCTTGTGGCCGGAGTGCTGGGTGCAAGCAGCCGCGAGGGATTTGGAGCGTTTTAGGGGATTTAGGGGTTTTACGGCTGGCAAACGGCAGACTTGAACGCCCTAACAACAGAGGGCTATGGAGACTTATGGGGGCAAACGGCAGGCTGCAACGCTTTGATCGAAGCAACAAATGCCTGTGGCCAGAGTGCCTGATCGAAGTTCCACACCTGCGGTGGTCTTGTGGCCGGAGTGCTGGGTGCAAGCAGCCGCGAGGGATTTGACTGCAACGCTCTAACAAAAAATGCTTGTGGCCGGAGTGCTGGGTGCAAGCAGCCGCGAGGGATTTGGAGCGTTTTAGGGGATTTAGGGGTTTTACGGCTGGCAAACGGCAGACTTGAACGCCCTAACAACAGAGGGCTATGGAGACTTATGGGGGCAAACGGCAGGCTGCAACGCTTTGATCGAAGCAACAAATGCCTGTGGCCAGAGTGCCTGATCGAAGTTCCACACCTGCGGTGGTCTTGTGGCCGGAGTGCTTGCACCCAGCAAACGGCAGACTTGAACGCCCTAACAACAGAGGGCTATGGAGACTTATGGAGGCAAACGGCAGGCTGCAACGCTTTGATCGAAGCAACAAATGCCTGTGGCCAGAGTGCCTGATCGAAGTTCCACACCTGCGGTGGTCTTGTGGCCGGAGTGCTTGGTGCAAGCAGCCGCGAGGGATTTGACTGCAACGCTCTAACAAAAAATGCTTGTGGCCGGAGTGCTGGGTGCAAGCAGCCGCGAGGGATTTGGAGCGTTTTAGGGGATTTAGGGGTTTTACGGCTGGCAAACGGCAGACTTGAACGCCCTAACAACAGAGGGCTATGGAGACTTATGGGGGCAAACGGCAGGCTGCAACGCTTTGATCGAAGCAACAAATGCCTGTGGCCAGAGTGCCTGATCGAAGTTCCACACCTGCGGTGGTCTTGTGGCCGGAGTGCTTGCACCCAGCAAACGGCAGACTTGAACGCCCTAACAACAGAGGGCTATGGAGACTTATGGAGGCAAACGGCAGGCTGCAACGCTTTGATCGAAGCAACAAATGCCTGTGGCCAGAGTGCCTGATCGAAGTTCCACACCTGCGGTGGTCTTGTGGCCGGAGTGCTTGGTGCAAGCAGCCGCGAGGGATTTGACTGCAACGCTCTAACAAAAAATGCTTGTGGCCGGAGTGCTGGGTGCAAGCAGCCGCGAGGGATTTGGAGCGTTTTAGGGGATTTAGGGGTTTTACGGCTGGCAAACGGCAGACTTGAACGCCCTAACAACAGAGGGCTATGGAGACTTATGGAGGCAAACGGCAGGCTGCAACGCTTTGATCGAAGCAACAAATGCCTGTGGCCAGAGTGCCTGATCGAAGTTCCACACCTGCGGTGGTCTTGTGGCCGGAGTGCTTGGTGCAAGCAGCCGCGAAGGATTTGGAACGTTTTAGGGGTTTAGGGGGTTTTACGGCTGGCAAACGGCAGGCTTGAAAGCCCTAACAACAGAGGGCTATGGAGGCAATGGAGGCAAACGGCAGGCTGCAACGCTTTGATCGAAGCAACAAATGCCTGTGGCCAGAGTGCCTGATCGAAGTTCCACACCTGCGGTGGTCTTGTGGCCGGAGTGCTTGGTGCCAGCAGCCGCGAAGGATTTGGAGCGTTTTAGGGGATTTAGGGGTTTTACGGCTGGCAAACGGCAGGCTTGAACGCCCTAACAACAGAGGGATATGGAGGCAATGGAAGCAAACGGCAGGCTGCAACGCTTTGATCGAAGCAACAAATGCCTGCGGCCAGAGTGCCGGATCGAAGTTCCACACCTGCGGTGGTCCCAGGCGCCGCCCCTGCCTTGGCTAAGGCCGGGGTCGGCGGATCGGCAGATTATATTGTGCATATGTATATATATATATATTTAATATTTGCAGGGTGACTTTGTAGTTTCTCTTCCACGACTGCAGGTTAGAATTGCAACCATCAGCCACGTGCTGTCGTTGGCTGAATGCTCACAGGAAAAAGTTGTTGCAATTCTGAAGCACATGAGGACGGCTTGGGGCAGATCATTGGATTTGGAAGACCTGGGTCCTAGTTTGACGGAAGGCACTGCTGTACTCGTAGATGCTACTGGCTCGACAACGTGATTACTGTACGTTTAACGGGTCAAACTTGTTCGGTTTGCAAACACGGGAATTTGTGAAAATGACCGAGTTCGCCAAATTCGGACTGTTTTGTACGGCAAAATTGGGATTGTATAGAGTATGGTAATGCATAATGCAGTTGAGACTAGTCAATCTAGTTGAATCAAATCTTAAAATGACCAGCCCCTTGTGGCTTTCCCCAATTTGACACATACCCAGCATATCCAGGAGTTCTGATATCCATCTGATTGCGGCTGTAGCTGGCCTCATTGAGCTGGACGTGGATGCGTCCTTGCCGTTGATTGGTGTCTGGGATGCAGATTTTCCCGGTAGAAATGGCCATCGTCTTCTTCTATGCTTGGAAAGCACATTTGAAGGTGAAGAATTAACTACGATTGCACAAGAAATCTAGATTATGCTGGGTCGTTGATGGTTGTATTGCTTTTGCCAGACATAGAAATCGAGGTGCATATCATACATCAATATCACCTAATATTTTCTTTGCAGAGTGTACCTGAATCAGTCATGATACAACTTGCAGATGATGTCTGCTGATCTATTGTGATCCTGGATTCCGTTCCCCGTGAAATCCGTGAAACGCTAAGGTGTATCTCAAGCCTTGCAGCTCTTGAGCAAAGAGTGCTCCAGGAAACCAGCTGCGCTCAAGGCAGCTCTGATGTTGATGCAGCAAGTGATTCAACGCTCCAAGGGCAACTTCCAGGAGTTGTACCATATGAGGACGTACCTTCAGCAGATCTCAATCTACTTGATGGAAAATCTCATGCCAAGGATTTGGCTGTCTGAGTTCCAGATCCAGTCCGAAGTTGAGAAAGTTGGAGCAAAAGTGCTGGAGTCCTTCTGTTCTCTGATGGAAGGACAGGTCGAGTTTGAAGTTGATGCTAGAGTAATGCCTCTCTTAGAAGAGTTTCTGCCTAAGATCTCACAGGGCATTGGTTGGGATGACCCTTTTGTTGCCTCTTTGGCGGATGCCTTGTCATTGACATCTCAGCTTCCCTCGGTCGTGTCTCAGTTGGTGAAGAAAGCGACAAAAAAGAAATTCGGAAGCTCTTCACGGAAGGCGTTGAAAATCCTCGAGGAGGCCTTCCAGAAAGTCTTGAAGGTCCTTCAGGGAACACACCGAAGACAAGGCCAAGCAGAAGCTGTTGAAGCTGATGAAGCTGTCTCTCACCGGTCTCATAGCTTTGTTGCCTTGGTGCTTGCTCGAGAACTGGTCACGCACTCTGTCCTTTTGGTTGACAAGGCTTTGGAGAACCAAGAAACCGAACGTCGCTTTGACTGCATCCTGGGCCACATTGTGGAGATCTTACAGCTGCCGTTGGTGAATTTCGCTGTGGATTCCACGGAAACCGAAACGGAGCTTTGCAGTGGATCTGGGCGATCTCTCCGTGTGTCTCAGCTGCCAAGTCCTTTTGCTGCACTCTTTGTGGTGGCAGCAACTCGACGCCGGGAAGATGCTTATGCAACCAATGCCACTGTGCGGATGCTGTTTGATATCATTGCCTTGAAGGGATCTGGGACTCGATTGCGTGCTTTGCTTGCCAAATGCCGAGCGGAATCTGAAACGTTTTCAAATGCTTTTGGCCTGTCCATGTTGCTGCCGGACAGGACTGTGAAGCCTGATGTGCAAGAGGTGGCACAGTGCTTGCAAGACATGGGCAATCAGCAAGGACATCAAGGACGTTCTGCACAGGCTGCTGAGCGCTTTGTGGAATTGTGCCATGCTAAAAGGAACAGCTTCCAGGAATTAGTGCCTTACCTCCGCGCCCTGGGGGAGGTCGTTTCCTTGCAGTGCACTGCACAAGATGACGCCTTTCAACAAGCTGTCCAAATTGCAAGAAAGTTGCCAGACATGGTTTTGGGACCCGCTGGAGATCTCTTGCGACAGGTAGCCGAAAAAACTGAGTGGAACATTGACTTCTTGAACAGGAACGGTCAGAATGCATGGCACACTTCCATCATTGCACACGTTCTTTGTCTGGTGGGAGCTGCTCATGAAAGCATCAACAAGACCAGGCAAGCAGAGCTGCCACCAGCTGTAAAGCCCTTCACAGCCTTCAATGTCTTGGATGAGGCAACCCTGCAGTCGACCTATTGGCCAGGTGTGCCAGAAGATTGTTGGCAGTCTTTGCGACACTCAGGATTGCACAAGCACAAGCTGGTTGGAGGCAACATGGTCTGGGCAGAATGCGATTGTGGATACCGGTACTGCTATTCCGAATGTGGAGCACCTGCCTCCAGCGCGGCTTGCCCAAGTCTTGGCCGTGACAACACTTGCAAGTTGATGAATGGGGGCCAAGGCCATGTGTTCAACCCAGGTCAACGACTGATTGCAGTGGTTGTCACGGAAACTCAGATCAATGGCAGCATGCGAGAGAAGTATCCTGAGGCATTTCAGAGACCGGGGCCCCTTCCGGGTTTGTTTTCACTGATCGAAGCAGACGAACAAGCTTCCGTGAAGCACGCTGATCGTGAAGCCGTGTCTCATAGTTTCCCTGATGAAACTGTGCGCCAAGATTGGAATCGGCCATTGGATGAACAGAATGGCTTGCACCCAGTGTCCTTTCGGGTGCTTCATTACTTGATCGATGCCAGTGCATTGGTGAGCATTGAAATGGAGTGGAAGCAGGGTATTCAGAACAAAGTCCATTTGTTGCAGAGCCACTTTCTCAACGTAGCCAAGATGAACCCAGTGAAAACTCCGAATGATACTGTGTGGTACTTGATGGCAAACATGGAAGCAGATTTGGTTGCTCTTCGAAAACTACTCAAAGGAACAGTGGAAGAGGCCACTCTTTTCATGCACGCAGTGCTTCACCGACTTTTGTCTCTGTCACAAGATGAGCAGCCTTGTGATGAGGCATTGACAAGTCACAGAGCTCGTGTGGCCTATGAAACCTGGTTTCATCAAACAGTTGTCGCACCCATCCTGGGTTCCAAGACTGCCAGCGGCAGGTTTGAATTGCCCGGCGTGCAAGTTCTGCGCAGGCAGGCGGGTCAAGCAAGCGACCCAGATTTGGTTCTCACCAGTAATTTCCTGGCACGTCAAGGCATACCACCAGATGCTTGGATGCTCATGAAGGAAACGCTACGGGCATCGCTGCTCCCTCATATTTTGAAGCCTTTGATTTTTCCCATTCCTCAAGAGGCAGTGCTGGCTGCAGGCCGCTTTGAAATTCTTCGCTTGCTCATGGCCGGACTTGAAGAGGATGGCATTTCCTGGTCCGTGCAATCCGACTTGCTTCGAGCTGCCAGTCTCGCTTGGATTTTGCCTTTCTTGCAGCTGGTGCGGGAAAAGGAGGGTGGGAAGATCACCATGGAAGCTGCTCGCCGAACCACGATCAAACAGTGGCTTGACAGCCAATCAGGACACGAGAAGGACACCGCATGGAGCCTTTTCCGGAATTGTGAAGCCGCTTGGGAAGCGACCCTGTCATCTGGCAACGTTCGAGATGGCTGCGGTGTCATTCGGCTTCCTGCCTTGTCACTCAACTCGCCATTGGCGCTTGCATGTCCAATTGCAGACCCTGAAAAGATGCGACACGGCGACATCCGTGTTGGAAATCAAGGTGACAGGCCAGAGCACATCGCAGCCCTTGCTTTGCATCACCTGGCAGTGAGTCACAACAAAGTGGTGGCAAGGATCCATTCATATCTGGCTCGCCAAGAAGCAGCTCACGTGAAAGCCAGGTTGAACCCTTCTGCTGGACTGTGCAAGTCAAGTGGTCAATGCCAAAGTGTTCCAAGTGTTCCAGGAGATGTCATGGGAGGCCAGGTGGGAGCAATTGACCAGAGAATTCGGCTTATCCAACATGCGACTACCAGCGACTTGTTCGTTTTCCCATCGCAAATCCAAACCACCTGTGTCTCCAAAGGCGATACTGACATCTCTGGACATTTTGGACCAAGAACCTTTCAGATCGACTAAAATCGACAGCCGCTTGAAAGAATTTTTCCAGATTCCATCAGATGCAGATCCGCCAGCCTGTGGTGATCATGACTTTGAAGCGCTGGAGAACAACTTGGCATGGCGCCTGATCGCTGCTCGGCGACCCCTGCAGATTTGCAGCGAGATCGGAGTGGATGAGGACCGCAACATGTTTGGAGCCACAATCACTTTTTGGTGGGATTTGCTGGGTCACTACTAGAAATACAAAATCGTATGAAATCATAGACATACCATGAAATATCCATTTCAGTGGCTGTAGGATCTTGTGTGCGTGTTTCTTCCATTTGGGAAAGAAGTTGATTGCCTTGGATGCCCACAGCCAGGATCACAAGGACCTCCACCAAGATATCGACGCCTTCCCGTATCGGATCTTCCATGGAAACGTGGATGCACGGATCCTTCACTGTCTCAAAGATTGCCGGCTGGCTCCACAGGTTCGTCTCAGTGAAGCTCTGAGTGTTCAGAAAGCCGAAGATTTGGAAGCATCATTTTACCGTGATACTTCTTATGCACTTGCAGTCAGCAAAATCACTGGTGATTTGATTGCATTGCTGCTAACGGTCAATGTGAAGAATGTGTCCGGCATCTTTTGTAGCGACATGACCTTGATGGAATTTGTGGAAGTCTTCACCTTGGTGGACAACATGCCGAAGTGTCGATCGATCGGTCAGACCCATCCCGATTCCTTGCAGCAAATCGTGGCAAGCTCAGTTTTTTTTTGTGGTCCTTCTGTTGCATGTTTGATTGCACGTTGTCCATCAGCTTTGTAGCAAGCTTGTTAATGCCAACCCCTACAGCGACGAAACAAGAATGATCGGTAGTGGGATCAAGTTCCCAATGGCCCAGGAAGGAATGGGAGAAATTGCAGCTCTACCGCTGTCCGCGCTGCTTTCGGTGCATCTTCTGGCACGGGATCTCTATGCATTGACGGCAGGGGCTTCCATCCAAACACGAGACACGGGTGAGGAGTACACAGCTTCCTGGGAGCTCCCGGAGAGTCTTCGAAGTCATCTGGAGGAGTTGAAAGAGGAATGTCCAGAGGTTTTGGCCATGATCTGCCGCTTGGTCGCTCGTTGTGTCTACTTGGCTGTTGACTTACCCGTGGCCATCCTTGCAAGTGAAGACGATGAGCCAAAAGATCCACATCCACTCGCCAGCTTAGTGAAGGAAATGGATATTGTGGATGAATTGGAAGCACTTTGTGAAGGAAAAGGAGAGAATGTGAAGCAGCTCCTTCTGCAACCTGTGCCGGCTGATCTGAAATGCTGGAGTCCTTGGAAGGAAGGACATGTCATCGCAGCACTCAAGGAGTACACTACTTGGTGGTCCCAAATCCGTGGTCCCTTTCTGGCAGCCCCCACAGGGACGTCGGTGTCCATGGCAGCAGATCCGGCTGTGGATGGTGGCATGGTCAAGGGTTGGGTTTCTGTGGAATGGCGACAACCCACTTTTGGCACAGCAAGTGCAAAAAAGGCCACCAGAATGTCAGCTGTGGCTCAGGACCTTTGGGGGGCTGTTGAACCATAGATGTTTCCACAGAATCCAGTCTGCAAGGTTAAGCCTGTTTAACTCGATGTCTTTTTGCAGTTTACGCGTTGTGTGGGCGGGTTGGACATGGTGTCACTGAGACATCCCTGCAGGAAGAAAGTCACGACTCAGACTCGAGTGACTCAGATGACGACGAGTGGGAACTGATCAGTGGAACAAAGACGCCTGATTCAGTGCGAAACTCAAGGGTAAGGAAGTGTCGAGCAGGGAGTGGAAGATGTGAACAGTCATACTGATTGGAGACTTTGTTTTGATATTACACATGTGCAAAGTGATATAGCCTCCACCCCATGAGCAACATCTGTGCTGCTTCGGATTTTATGTCTTCATGCAGATTTACTTCCAGTTGCAGTCAGATCTGTCAGACAAGTCTGCCAAAGCAGTGCCAGTTCGGACGTTGTCATTTGGCAGGCTGCATCTGCTGCATCTGCTGCACCTGCCACGCAAAATAACACGTCGAACACGTCGAACAGCATCGGTGCCAAAGGAGAGGTGCCACGAACACAGGCGCTATCACTGCATCGATGGAACTGCGCAGCAGTTCCATTTTTTTGGTATCAGTTCTGGTTTGATTGAGTTTGATACTCAATATTACCGATATCGATGCACAATATTAATAGATATTGCATATCATTTTGTTTCAGCATCTATGGAGGCCATCACCTAGAAAATGTGTACGGGTGACAATCAAGAAACGACAAGTTTTCTCCCGTAGATTGTTTGCAATGCAAGCCCACAGTGCCACATCAGTGAATAAAAATGCACATCAATCCCTTAGAAATGGGCCGTTGAAGCAACTTCCAACTTCATAATTTACAGTTATCTTATAGGTTATCTCAGGTTATCTCAGGTGATCTTTCGTTATTTTCAGATATTTTGAGGTCAGTTTTGCGCATTTTTGTAAGTCGAGGGTCGAAGAGGAAGTCATCCCACGTCACAGGCCGCTCCTGCCCTTGGAAGTCGACCTCCGGTGCCCCCGGCGGCCAGTTGTAATGAGCTACTAGCGATACCATAGGATATGGATGGATATGGTTTGCTGGTATAGATATGGTAAAATTACATACATAATATATACATCTAATATGTAATATACACAGTGTATACATGTATATACACATGGTATAGAGGTGGTATGGAGGTGGTATCCAGAGATGGTATGCCAAAAGATGTTGGCATTTCATCCTTGAAGGTAGCTCAAGGTGTGCATCAAGCGCTGGAATTGCAAGGTGCCGGGCCCAGCCTGTCCCTTCAATTTGTTTCAGCTAGATATAGCAACCAGAAGGATACATGTATCAAATAAGGAAATTGATGATTTGCATGGTTTTGTTACATTTTCCTGAAACTGGAAGTTCGATGCCCATGGATTTTGAGAATCATCGAGTTCTTCAGAGTTGGAAGCGCTGTCCAAAATGAACCGTCACCAATAAGCTGGAGGATGTGTGCCCACCTCGTCTCTATGTGTTGGCAATGCACAGGTTCAGATTTTGTCCGAGATGTCCTTCAAAGATTCATGGATAGCAGACGCACAAGACAATCTTCTCGCATCATGGCAGCGAAAATATGAAGAGGTTTGGTTTTGGTCAGTTTCCAGATGCTGAAACCGAAGCCCAGTTCGGGCGCACTGGTTACCCCTTGAGAGCAAGGCTTTTGATTGGTTGAGAACCTCACAACCTTTCCAAGTTTGTCCATTAGTGACAGTCTACACAAAGGAAATTGGAGCGAACCTTCTCTCACACTTCTAGCAGAGTGCAACGAGGTAAGGTTTTGATTGCTTGGTCTTAGTGCCTTCGTTTCCATCAGAAAAGTCACATCCCGGGATTCAAAAGTATTCTAACCAAATTTGTCCGAGACATTCTCGGTCTGAGATCCTGCCACTGCGCAAAAGGAGTCGTAATTCGCAACGAAGTGGCTGAGAGTTTGGCACTCGCATGGGAGAATGAAAGTGACATGGGAGAGGTCCTTGAATCGTTGCTTGCGGTACTTGGTGAGAGCTTGGAGCTTGAAGGAAGACCAGTGCTCCTTGACGACGTTGGAAAATGTTGGAAAATGTTGGAAAATGTTGGAAAATGTTGGAAGCATTGCAAACTTGAGACACTTTGTGTGAAGTGTTGAAGTTATGTGCCCAGAGGGTCACCAAGACAGGCACACATATTATGCAAAAAGTTTCTTGCGGCAGGTTGGTCGCTCAGTTTCGCGAGTACTTTGCCAAGCAGCAGAAACGCGACAACACGCCCCACAACTTTGGCCTGCCAGAGCTGTCTCACCTTCAAAGATGTATCTGGCTGTGAGCTTGGAGGATTTGTCCAATTTCTTCTTGTCCCATTACATCAGAAGAAACATCCAAGTCATCCAAGCCATCCAAGTCATCCAAGTCATCCAAGTCATCCAAGTCATCCAAGCCATCCAAGTCATCCAAGTCATCCAAGTCATCCAAGTCATCCAAGTCATCCAAGCCATCCAAGTCATCCAAGTCCATCCAAGTCATCCAAGCCATCCAAGTCATCCAAGTCATCCAAGTCATCCAAGTCATCCAAGTCATCCAAGCCATCCAAGTCATCCAAGTCATCCAAGCCATCCAAGTCATCCAAGTCATCCAAGTCATCCAAGTCATCCAAGCCATCCAAGTCATCCAAGTCATCCAAGTCATCCAAGTCATCCAAGTCATCCAAGCCATCCAAGTCATCCAAGTCATCCAAGCCATCCAAGTCATCCAAGTCATCCAAGTCATCCAAGTCATCCAAGCCATCCAAGCCATCCAAGTCATCCAAGCCATCCAAGCCATCCAAGTCATCCAAGCCATCCAAGCCATCCAAGTCATCCAAGCCATCCAAGTCATCCAAGCCATCCAAGCCATCCAAGTCATCCAAGCCATCCAAGCCATCCAAGTCATCCAAGCCATCCAAGTCATCCAAGCCATCCAAGTCATCCAAGCCATCCAAGCCATCCAAGTCATCCAAGCCATCCAAGTCATCCAAGTCATCCAAGCCATCCAAGCCATCCAAGTCATCCAAGCCATCCAAGTCATCCAAGCCATCCAAGCCATCCAAGCCATCCAAGCCATCCAAGCCATCCAAGTCATCCAAGCCATCCAAGCCATCCAAGCCATCCAAGCCATCCAAGCCATCCAAGCCATCCAAGCCATCCAAGCCATCCAAGCCATCCAAGCCATCCAAGCCATCCAAGTCATCCAAGCCATCCAAGCCATCCAAGCCATCCAAGTCATCCAAGTCATCCAAGCCATCCAAGTCATCCAAGCCATCCAAGCCATCCAAGTCATCCAAGTCATCCAAGCCATCCAAGTCATCCAAGCCATCCAAGCCATCCAAGTCATCCAAGCCATCCAAGTCATCCAAGCCATCCAAGTCATCCAAGCCATCCAAGTCATCCAAGTCATCCAAGCCATCCAAGTCATCCAAGCCATCCAAGCCATCCAAGTCATCCAAGTCATCCAAGCCATCCAAGTCATCCAAGCCATCCAAGCCATCCAAGCCATCCAAGTCATCCAAGCCATCCAAGCCATCCAAGTCATCCAAGCCATCCAAGTCATCCAAGTCATCCAAGCCATCCAAGCCATCCAAGTCATCCAAGCCATCCAATTCCTCCATTCATCACTTCCACTCCACGCCATCCAATCCCTCCCCTTCATCCCCTTCCTCCCCTTCCCCTCCCCTCATTCCAATCATCCAGCCATCCAAGCCATCAAGCCATCCAAGTCAATCCAAGCCCAATCCAGTCATCCAAAGCTAAAGCCATCCAATCATCCACATCCAAGTCATCCAAGTCAATCCAAGTCTCCAAGTCTCCAAGCCATCCAGCCATCCAAGTCATCCTTCAAGTCTCCAAGCATCCAGTCATCCAAGCCATCCCCAGCCATCCAAGTCATCCAAGTCCATCCAGCCATCCAACCATCCAAGCCCTCCAAGTCATCCCAAGGCCCCCAAAAAAATCCCCCCAAGTCATCCAGCCACCCAAGCCAGCCAAGTCAATCATCCCAGCCATCCAAGCCATCCAAGTCCATCCAGCCAATCCAAGCCATCCAAGCCATCCAGTCCATCCCAAGCACCCATCCCAGTCCCTCCAATTCAATCCATCCATCCACTTCATCCAATTCATCCCCATCCCTCCAATCCCTCCCGCCTTCAATCCCTGCCATCCACTCCCCTCCATTCCTCACTCCCTCCAGCCATCCAACCATCCCAGTCATCCAACCATCCGCATCCAAGTCATCCCAGCCATGCCCATCAAGTCATCCAATTCATCCAAGGCCAAATCCAATTCCATCCAAGTCATCCAAGCCATCCAAGCCATCCAAGCCATCCAAGCCATCCAAGCCATCCAAGCCATCCAAGTCATCCAAGTCATCCAAGCCATCCAAGCCATCCAAGTCATCCAAGCCATCCAAGTCATCCAAGCCATCCAAGTCATCCAAGCCATCCAAGCCATCCAAGTCATCCAAGCCATCCAAGTCATCCAAGTCATCCAAGCCATCCAAGCCATCCAAGTCATCCAAGCCATCCAAGCCATCCAAGCCATCCAAGCCATCCAAGTCATCCAAGCCATCCAAGT